AATGGACACACCTTACAGTGTAACAGGGCTCTTCCCTCTGGGGCAGGCAGAAATCGAACTCATGCGGAAGTGGCTTTAGCTTCTCAGTGCTGTGCTTTAACCCGCTGTGCCACCGGAGGGAGGGCCAAGCATGTATTATTTTAAAGTGCACCAACAATTTATGAACTAGTGTTTCTTCACATCATGTCATTCCCTTTGACATCTGCCGATCTGATAGGTTTAAAGGAGCACCTTTGTCTTTATTTTTGTTGTGGACTTCTGTCCATTTTTCTATTAATGTCTAGTTTTTCCTGGAAATATGTAAAAGTGTTTTTTGTTACTTGTCTCAAGCCACTGCAATCAAAAGTAAGGCAGGGTATATGTAAGGAATTTATTATATTAACCTCATCTACTATTTTTGTGAAATTGAGTTATTAAAACACATTGTGTTAAATGCCACCATTTTACTTTTCTTTGAACGGCACTTGGGTTGATGCCATGATTTGGTCATTGTAGACAATGCTGCTATGTACATAGGTATAGACTGTTTCATGTTAAAGTTTTCATGTTATCTGGGTAGATACTTAATAGCTAATAGCTAGGTCAAGTGGGAGTCCTACTTTCATTCTCTTGAAACCTCTCCATACTGTTTTCCACAGGGGCTGTACCAGCTTGCATTCCCACCAACAATGGCTTTTTTTTTTTTTTAAAGATTTATTTATTTGTGCATACAGAACTGGGGTACAGGCCAGAGGCTCAGGGGGTGGTGAGAGGCTTCACCAGAGACAGAGTGGGGAACAGAACAGGCAGATTGACGAAGTGCACTGCTGAGGGGAGCAGCAGAGGTCTGCCACACCATGTGGTCACCTCTGGGGCAGGCAGGAATCGAACTCATGCGGAAGCGGCTTTACATTCTCAGTGCTGTGCTTTAACCTGCTGCGCCACCAGGGAGGGCCACAACAATGGCTTTTGCACCACAACCTCGTCAACATTTACTAACGGTATTCTTTTTATATGGGTCATTCTCAGAGGGGTGATATTAAACATTTCTTTATGTCTGCAGGACATCTGAATGTCTTCTTTAGATGTCTTATTGAGTTTCTCTGCCCACTTTTTAGTTGGG